TTCAAAAAAAATATCTTACTGCTCAGAAAGACAAAGAATAATCCAATTTTGCTCCAAGTTTGCAAATCCTAATATTCACATTAATGCCACGTCAGGTGTCATCAAGTACCTTCCCCCCCAAAGGGTCAAAATTTTGAATAATTATAAGTCTAATAAAATGTGATGTGAGAGTCGGCTTGTCTTCAAATTTACTGTTAAGATGGTACCTCACCAGAAAGGGCCTAAATTTTGAATATTCACGAAGCTCATAAAAAGCGAAATTAACATCCAATTCCATTCAGACTTTCTATCAACACAAGATCTGTTACAAAGATGGTAACGATCGGACCATTCCTTCTGAAAACTCTACCACATAGGATTCTAGATTTTGACAAAAAAAAAAAAACGCTCAAAGCAAGCGAATTAGGCATCTAATTCTCTTCATATTTCGCGCATATAAACATTTTTGCTTACAATAGATCTGTTGTGAAAATGCTATATATCTGCGAACCCCTTCTGGTACCTCAAGCACAAAGTGTCAACATTTTCAATAGTTTTATATGTCATAACTTGCGAAACAAATTGGCGATTTTTACAACTTGCCATATCAAAATATTTCTCTCACCTAGAGACCTAAGATGAGTACGGAATTTATGATTTCCCATAAAATCCAATAGAAATGTTCGTTTTTTTAATTTTGCTCATACATTATTTTAGGAAGTATGAAAATGGAATATTTCGGTCGATTATATCAAACAACTTACGCACATTTATCTCTCATTATAGTTAAGGAAAGAGTCGCTATATTCCAAATCTGACACTTCGCAATATTTATAATATATTTATTTAGGTCCGATACGAAATGGACAATTTTGGCCCTTTCCTTTGGAAACAACTCCATAGAGAGTCAAGAGTTTGAATAATCACAACACAAGTCAAAATATGTAATATAAATAACGAACATTGGCTTAGGGTATAAATCTGTCGGCAAAACCGACTGATAATTTTTAATTTTTTTTTTTACATTATTTTGCAAACATTTTAACGATTTCCATTTTTCATTTTATTCGTCCTCTTTTTCTTCCTCCATTTGTTGTTTTTCTATTCGCTTTTCCGCTGAAACCTTCATAAATTGATTATTACGGAACATTTATGCATGAATTCGCTGAAATGTCATCAAGTCAACCGTACTTGTCACAAACAAAGAATATTTATTTAAGGCTCTAACGCGCAATGCTCGCTTCGTCCACTCGCAGCTTCATTGTGTTTGTTTATTCTCGTGAAGCCAGCCAAATAACCTACAAACAAATAAAACGCCGAGAAAGGGTAGAGAGTAGAAGCCAGAAATGTGAAAAATATAAGGGCAAGCGATAGCAAATTGTCCAAGGTGCAATCAATTTTACGACAAACAGACATTTATGACCGAATCACAATGGGAATGACTTTCTTTCGGGTTTTTTGTTGTTCAAAGGCTTACAAATGATATTTTATTGTTGTACTATTTGTCAAACTGAGAGTTTAAGCTGTGACAGAGCACAATTTGGAAGTTCATTACAATTTTATGATGTTAATTTAATAAAAATGATGTTTTTATGAGAGAAAGAGAGAGAGAGAACGAATAAAACAAAATTGAGATATTATATTTGAGGTAATAAAATATTATGAATGGAGTGATTCTGCAGCTTTGAAAAGGCAACTGAGACAAAATGATTTTCAATTTTCATAAAACATATTTACGGATATAAGCATGGCATTTTTATGATCTATAGGGGTCCTCAAAGTCGATTTTAGAAACGAAGTTTTTATTTATTTTTTATTTCATTGCATTCGTGGTATTGATTTTGTTACAGCACATACGATTTTGTTTGCCGATAATTTTATTTTTTTACACCTCTGCAGAATTGCACCACCATTGTGACAACAACATGGCCCCACACAAATAACACCTGTAAATAGTTTTTATTGCTTTTCAACTATTCTGCAATGCAGTGCACGTTTTGAACCTGTTTAATATTTACCTGCATTGCCTTTCGATTTTGTTGGAATATTTATGCAAAAATTGCGCTGGCACTGAGATTTTGGACCTGTGTCCAGGGGGAATGTTTACTTCGCCACTTTTGCATTTCAAACAAAATCGAAATACACACGGATGCATATTTGAGGATGACGATACGTGCACACATTCTAAAACATATGGAGACGGTGTGTGGAATGTTTTTGTGAAGTCAAATAAACGGCAAACAAACAGACATACAGGCAGACAAATGAAACGATGTACGTGATTTGAACGCTTTCCTTTTATCTTTTGTCTATCTATGGGGGGTCTTTGTACAATGGAGAAAGCAAACACCAAAATAGGGGGAAATGTGAGCCTTAAGGTAAGTTGAGAAAATAGTCTATTTAAAATTTTTTTTTTTATTTTACTTGATTTTTCGATGTTGTCTGGGAAATGGCACACTTCGTATAAATATCATTTACAATTAAATTTTATATTTTCCTGCGCCATGAATCTGCTAAAGCAAGCATGTATTTTTCATTACTTCTCTAATGCTGTTGCTTCAAATTTGATATACGTACATCAACAAGACTCATGGCCTTAAGCTGCAATCATTGCCCCTAATGAACTGAATAATATGTTGTTTAGATGTGTGTGTGTGTGTTATAATGTGAACCTTTTTCGAAATTTTGTTGTTGTTTTTTTGGGCTGTACCCCTATTTTATTACGGATAATTTTTTTCCTGTTCGCCTTTCCTTGAAACTTTATCCACTAAATATGGCCTGAGTAGCTATTCTGGCTAAAGCTCTGGCAAATATTTGTTGTAGTCTTTTGTTTCCATCTTCTTCCTCGTTTGAAAAAGGCTGTCTTTGGAGACATGGGGTCGTATAAGCATCATCAATAGGTTCAATGGGTCGTATAATTTATCACAATATTTAATGAATAATTTGATGCATACTTTACGGCGAAGGCAGTGGAAAAAAGAAATTTTTATTGAAGTTTTTAGTTTCAATTATTTTAAAATTAATCAGAGTAAAATGAGAAGTAATCAATATTAATTATTTAAAGGAAGAAGTTTTTGATTTCAGGGTAGAAGAATAATTGACAGGATATTATTGCTAAGTAAGGCGAATACAAATTTAAACTAAGTTCCAGTAGAACAAATTAAAAAGTATCAGTCGGTTTTGCCGAGAGATGTATACCCTTAGCCTATTTCGGATTATTAACATTTTGACTTTCTTAATGATTATTCAAAATGGTTCATTGGAGGAGATAACGAAGGAGTGGACCAATATTATCCACTTCTCATCTGAACAAAGTTTGATATAAATATTTGATATAAATATTGCACCCGATTTGGACCATATAGACCACTTTCTTCACTTTATATGAGATACGTGATAATTTTTGGAAAATGTTGAAATATGAGTAAGGTGGACCGAAGTGTTCCACCTTATCTAAAAGTGATACAAATATTTGGATGTGTAACATTTTTATGAAAATTAGACATCTACAACAAATTATTTCTCATTTTTCAACCGATAAATTACATATTCGCATCAGACCTTAATTGAGAAAAATATATAGATATGCTAAGTTTGAAAATAATCGCTAACTTGTTTCGCCAGTTATGCAATTTGTGAACCTTTGTGGGAGAGGTAACAGAAGGGGCAAGCCGATATCTATCATCTTAACGCCAGATCTTGTATTTGTAAAAATACTGCGATGAGTGAAATTTGAAAAGAATCGGATGCCTATTTCGCATTTTATGAGAGCCATCATAATTCGAAAATTTAATCCGGGGAAGGTACCAGAACGAATGGTCCGATACATTCTATCTTCACACCAGTTCTTAAATGATGAATTATCCGATATATCCCATGCATATCTTTATATCTTTACACCAGATCTTATTTAACGAAAAAATGGTGGGATGTGTGAAATTTGAAGAGAATCAGATTTCGCTTTTATGGGCTTTAGGCTATTCAAAATGTTGACCCTTCCCGGGGTGCAACCATAAGGAGTTAACCGATGTTATAATTATTCCAAATGTTGACGCCATATGAGGAGGTACTTGATGGAGTTGTCCGATATTGTCCATTTTCACACCTGACCTAGCACTGATGCAAGTGATACGAATTGCAAAGTTTGAGCAAAATTAGATTTTCCTTTCTCCTTCTGTGCAGTAAAATATTTTGTTTAAAAATTTCGATATTTGGTTTTTGTGGGTGTGAACTGATGTTGCCCATCTCCGAACTCGATCTAAGTTTGATAATAATATTACTATGTACCAAGTTTGGATCAAATCGGATACTCCTTTCGAGAGTTATCGTGTGCACCAGCCAGACAGACAGACGGACGGACACCTATAGACCGACTCAAAATATCCTGTAACGGATTTGGTCCAAAGAAATATCAGTCTAAAAACGTTGTTTCGATGAGGTACCTTTTGGGCGTGTCAAATGATATATACCCTTTGTAACCATAGGGCTGAGGTTAAAAAATAAGTCTCAACATCATCCTCTTAAACTTTTGTAAACAAAATCTTGATTAACGTGGCCCGGTAACGTAACGACCACTACTTGCTCATCTTCGAAGAAAAATGATCCTATTATAACTCTGGACTAAAATCCGCCTTAAAATTGTTTTGGGTGCATCTGCCTTTCAATCTATGAGTGTGGGTTATATATGCCCTAAAATGCAACATTTCTGACGGTGCTTTCTTATTCCAAAATTCGTAGGCAATTTTCGTATTGAAAAATATTTGCCCGTCTTTGTCCTTGGGAAGGACGAACATTCATCATACCCCAAATTTTCATTTCATATTACATTGTTCATATTTAGCTTCAAATTAGAATTTTCCCTTCAATTTTAATATTTTTCCCTCAGCCAGGTGGTCATTATTTGAATACCTTAAAAATAAGATTATAAATCAAATTAAAAAAAACTTATTATACTGCCAAACAATGTACCTCAAATAATTTATTTCCCAATTTTCTTTATCGCTACAGGATAATATGCTGTTGACAGTTTAATAATCTACAATACAAAAATCTAAATTAATTAAAAAACGGCTCCGAACAATAAAGTTTCTCCACGACCAAAAACAATTCCCCTCCATTCAAGCAATACCAACCAAACAAATTACAACAACGGCAACTACAACAAACGATTTTACGAATAAAAATGAAATTCGAAATATTGGGCAACTTACACACAAACAAAATACTATTGCACTCGAAAAGTCGAACGAGAAATCTACAAACGTTTTCTAAATGAGTTAAACGATTCTGGCGGAATTCATTCGAGCAGCTTCAATCAATTAACTTGGCTTGGCTTGACTTGGCGTTTCTTATGTCTGACAGCTTGCCTTGCTTCGGCGCCATATTTAAGCTACAAATCATCAAAACCAAAATCCTGAACACCAGTGTGGCAAACTTTAAAGGTAGCTGCGTCTAAATGAAGTTACAAATCCGTCACTTTGGTAAATTGTTTCTGCTGCTGACAGCCTTCTTCGTCGCTAGAAAATCTGTAAAAGCTCTACTCGTTGTGCTCCTCGTCATTGCGGGCAATGTTGTTGTTGCTGTTGTCGATGCTGTTGAAGGCGATATTGAGCGGAAATTTGAACACAAACAAAATCGACCCGAATCACAGCAACAACAGGAGGAGGAACCCATAACACCACTCTTCGACGGCACAACTCCACACCCAAACACCCCGGAGAGTATTCCCATAAATAATTCATTGAACTTAACTTTCAACGCCAACAACTCGTTACAAATCAAAACTGGCCAAGTGCAAGCGAGTGGAAGTCGTGCAAGTGTAGGTAGCCAAGTGGAAACGCCTTTCGATGTGACTTTGACAAATATCACAGTTAACAATGTTGTGGACATGGAATCACAGACATCTTCTGCCAATGCCACTGCAACTAATGCACCATTGCCAAGAGTCGAAATATCATCAGCAGCAACAATGCTTGCCTCAGCACACGTGATAGATATAATGAAGGAACGACGAAGGCGATACCACGATTTGAACAATGAGTTTGAATTACCACAAAAGTACAAACGTGCCGGCAGCAGAAGCAGCAGCAGCCGAACAACTATGATGCCAATGACTGACAAGGAATCAAAATTACTTTCACCTCAACCACAATTGCAAGCATCGTCATCATCGGCATCATCATCATCACTCTTGTCGTCATATTCGTTGTCTCCAACATTATCACTCTCATCAGCATCGACGACATCTCCATTGTCATCGTCGTCGTCGCTATCAATGCTATCTTTAAAGACCCTATACAATCAACAGTCCGTGCCGCCACCACCACCAAAAGTAGAATCACACCACACCAAGGCCAGTTCTCCATTTCCATCTAATCGCAGCCACACGTTGTTGCCAGAGAAAGGAGAAAAGCAACAGCCCCACAACGTTCCAACAAAACGAGCAGTAGCAACACCGACAACAACAACAGCAAGTGAGGACAATGGACGTGTGGCCATCCTTGTCCCCTCTCAACTGTTCCACAAAATGCAAGTGCAACAGGGCTTTTACGATTTTGTGGAATTCTTCCAAGTGAACTTGAACAATGTCATTGTTGATTTTATACCCGATGATGGTAAGTTTTCTTTTTTTTCACTTTTTTTGTGTTTCGCCTTTTTCCTTTTCATTAGAGACAAGAAAAAATAAAAAAAAAAACAAGAATCACTGTAAGCCGAGCTAGGTTTGGGTATTTGAAAATAATTATGGGCGATTCCTGATAACTGAATTATATGTGTGTGATGGCAAGGGCCCAATAGCCATCGAAAAGGAGTGTAGAATCAATTTGATTTTTTTTAGAGAGAATCAAACCAAGAAATTCTCCTATTCAAAGGGGTGTTTTACTCTCCAAAATGGGATCTTGGGATTTGGTTTAACCGAACAGCGGTATAGAAAATATTAAAAATTACTGGAATATCTAGAAATGTCTTCGACATTTAAGAGGGTTTTTAATCCAAGCTTCGGCCTATGTAAATGGAATACAACCCAGGATATAGTAAGTCAGGAGATAATTATGAATATATTTGCTCATTTTTTAGAGCTCTCACAGAAATGTACTTCAAATATTGAATCACTCGATCCTCAACTATCAAAAATAGCAATAAGCAATTAATTTAAAGGAACTTGGTGATGTGTTAGTATCTTATAGACGTGTTGTGTATACATGTGGAAATTAAAACTAAGACGTAAAACGGGGCTTAATGTCAATGCCACGTCACTTTCGGAACGGACAAAGTTATAATTTTTAAAATTTAGAAGAATGGGCCTATAGATTTTTGGAATGAGAGGGAAATGCAAATGGGCAAAGTTCGAAGTCTAAATATCTGGAATTGAAGCATTTGTTCATGTTAAGGTAAGAGATACGGTTGTATTTTATACCCTTCTCCATACTTAGCATGGAGGGTACATTAAGTTCGACATTCCGTTTGTAATACTTCGAAATAACAATTTTAGACCTAATATAATATATACATTCTTGATCAGCGTAAAATTCTAAAACGATTTCGCCCTGCCCGTCTGTTGTAATCTCACTAGAGTCAAAACGAATTAAGATAGGAAGCTTAAATTTTGCACAGACCAGTCTTATGTCTGCAAGAAGTTCGAAGATGGGCTATATCGATCCATGAAATCGTATTGACCCTATATGACGGTACATCCCGATATTCGATATTTTGATGACTTTAGCCACAATGGAATGTCTGAAAATCCACACAAGAGTTCCTTCTGAGTACTTCGTCCACAGTATTATCTGTATACGTCTACGATATCGTATAGCCTCCATATAACGGTACCTCCCGATATTCGGTATTTTGATGATTGTAGCCAAAATTTTTCAATGTAATTGCGTGAAAATTGGCATATGGAGGTCCTTCTGAGAACTTTATACCCTGGAAGAGATTTTTTTATATAGATCTGCCATATGGTACCTCCCGATGGAATGGTACCTCCCGATATTCGGTATTTTGATGATATTACCGACATTATTCACGGGAAATGTTTCAGATTTCGTATTTAAAGTTCGTAATCGATACTATAGCCGATGACAAAAAATTAATTATGCAGAACCACGTCTTCGCATAGCCCTCATGTAACGGTTTTCCTTTGACCGGTATTTTTCGGCGGATTTTGTTTTTGGACATTTTTCAAGTTCCTTCAAAATGGTACTAAAAGTTCGCCCGGTCGAACTTAGCTGTTTTTTTACTTGCTTGAAGCTAAAATGGTACTAAAAGTACGAAAAGTTACAAAGTTCTATGTGGTGATAATTAGCAAACGGGTAAAGCTATAAACCTTAGAGATGACATACGGCTACATTTACTGACTGCGCTGTTGTAAAAAACAAAAGGGGGGGGGGGGGGGTGGGGAAGGTATGTAAGAGCTATATGTTAAAAAAAAAAAACAAACAAAAATGGTACTAAAAGTACCAAATGAATTTTAGTGCCTTGATATTATATTTACCTTCGTGACAGAATTCTAAATTGGTATACTTCCTCATTTTTTTTTTTTTTTTTTTTTTTGTGAAAATTGATAGGACTGTAAAAATACTTAATGATACTAAATCTTGTGCTACGTAGTTATCGATGTTAAGGCTATTATTCCGATATTTATAATTTGAGGGGTCGAATTGGGCCCCATTTTTAAAAACTCGGGCTTTGTGGGTGCTTGAATATTTTATGTTCTGTTATATGGGATTTATCGATCGGATAGAATAGGAATCTCCGTTATATTTAACTAAAAGGGAGATTGATTGTTTGGTCACTAATGAAGATTAGGGGCAAATGATTCGGGGAATTAAAAAATTAAGGTAGAAAAATACTCATCTGCATTTGATGATGTGACTCGATTGTGAGTAACAACCTAATATAGTTTTTGGAGGTTATTTTTCTGGTATGGGATGGATTAGTATGATTTTTTGGATATTGTACTAACAGGTGATTGGATATTTGGCAGATAAGACTAGGAGTTTAGCGACTTGATCTAAGAATTGCGCTAAATTTATTATTGTTGGCACTGAGTCCACAGAAAGGGCTAAAATTATTGGAATGCAAGTTAGTTTAAAAATGTGAGATTGAGATAAGGATGTGTTTTAAAAAACATAGAAAAAAATATTTGATACCAAATATTGCACCACTGGATATGAATGAACTCTTAAAATAGAAATTCTAAAATTTTGAACGAGGGTCATTGTTGACTAAATTCAAATGGATTGCATATACATTTTTTAATTTCATTTATAAAAAAAAGAAAACTAAGAATTCTCCTTCCTTTCACCTATTTTTTAGGTATTTCCTTGGAAACCCACTTTTCTAATCGCCATATTTATGAATTTGAATAATTATGAAAAAACACTTTAATTAATATTCTCTGGAAAGTATCTCCTTTGTCACATAAAATAGATTTATAAAAACTTTGTAAGTTTTTATTTTTTCCACAAAAACTCAAACACAAATTCCGTGTGGTTGGGAAAACCGAGCAAAGAAACTAGACAAAAACTCTTTGTAAATATGCAAATTTATGAGAGAAGAGAAAAACAACAGCAACTACACGAAACACACACACAAACAAACAGAGAGAGAAAAATATAAATAAGTAAACATAAAATAGATTTCCATTTTAATTCGTTCGGCTGCTGATTCCAATTTCCTCCATAAAATTCTATTACCAAACATAAACAAATGGAATGAAATGAAATGAAAATTGCCCGGCGACAGGCAAGGCATAACAAGCCATACCAAGGCAAGGCAAGGACATTCTCACAATGTTTCCATTTATCCTGGGCTTTTTCTATTGCCAGCGACAATTTATGTTGGATGACATAAATTTAGATGTTTTGCCATGTTAAATAATTCGCATTTATTTATAGAATGATCTGCAAAAGGCGAAGGAAAGAAAACAAAAGTATTGTTTTTTTTTTCAAGGGGAAATAAACAAAAGCGTAGCCATAGCCATAGTTTTGCAAAGCATTAAATAAAAAAAAACGCAATATTTTCGATAAACAATACTACATAACAACGAACTTTGTAAGGTTATTTACTTCAAAAATGTCTTCTTCAATGGAGAATTTGTGGCATTCTTTTTCAGCACTTTTTCAATATTATTCCCCATTTTATCGAAATCTGATATAAATGGGCAATAAATATACTCAATCGGTAAACCATCTCGTTGCAAAGTACTGTTGACATTTTGTCCGAATTTTGGCTTTTATGCCGCGGGAATTCTTTATTTTTGGGATCGTTTAAATATTTTCCATCCAAATTAGAATATAAAAGCAAAACATCTGAGTGTTCAACATGAGGTATAACTCCAACATTTATGTTCTTAGGAATTTTCGAAGTATGTAACACAAAATTAATAGGCCATAATAAGACTCATGGAAATAACATAGGGTCCACCATATCTCTTGAGACTTAATTCGTACCAGGAAATGTAATTACGATCCCTCTTTTGAAGAGCTCTGGAAGATTATTCAATTTAGACTTTGCTAATCCTAATACTTCTGTCATATCTATATGGATGGTCCACTCCTTTTTGTAGCAGTCAACGTTTTAGTTACAATTAGTTACAAATAACTCATAGGAAGCCAGTTTGTAAAAACTTGGCGCAACGTAAATTGCCATCATCATCGGTCCTTTCCATTTGATATGTCATTCACAATAGGGTTAAAACTTTCCATGTCCATAACTCGAATCTCAATGTAGTTTAAAATACTCTTTCAGGTACCTCCCCACACACACGGTAATAATAAAAAAAGCTTTAAAAAAATTGACAAAAATTTGGTATTTGAAAGTCTAAATGCATGAATGAATTTGAAAGTCTATGCTTTCAAAATGTTATCAATTTAGGTCCACAAAACCGAACTTTATTGGACATTTTAAGAATCTTATTCTTCGATTGAATATCTTTAGCTGTAAAAATTGAAAGTCTCAAACACATAGTTCTATTTTTTTTATTTTGAATACAAGGCTATTGAAAAATTTTCTTAAATTACCTCAATACCTAAGGCAATAATCGGCAGCATGTTACTTATATTCCATTTTTGTTCTGTATTAAGTTACAGACTGGGTTTTCGAGTTTCAATTTAAAGTTTTCATAATTCCACCCTTTCCAATGTTTGTTCTTTAAAAGTTTGCCAAGAATAAGTTTTTTCCCTCCATGTTTTGTTGTGAAGATGGACAGACACAGACGAAAAATAGAACTACTGGTAGCTGTGATAAATTGATAAGAATCAATAATAGAATCATCCCGCAGGCATAAAATCTTTCGTTTGCTAGCAAAGCCTTACAGATTCTGTTGTTTTTTAGCTGTTGTGATTGTTGTAAAGATTTTTTTCTTCAGGGAGGGGTGGAGGAAATTGTAAATTGTGTTGGTTGTATATTTACAACTTTCAATGAAATGTGGGACTTCGTTGTGATAACTTTTCTTTGGTGTATATATGTGTGAGTGTGATTGAGTTACGAAAGCCTGACTAAAATCTATACAAGTGTTTGGTGTGATTCTAATTATTTAAAGAAACATAAAATGAAATTGGTTGGAAGCATGAAAATGAATTAGAATATATGAAAAATGATAAAAAAAATCAAATTAAAATACAAACTTCAAAAACAACAAAAATGCCACTTTGGTACTTGAAAACACCCACTCATTATAGCTAATGCTGTTCGACGAGGGGATGTCTGATCGATTTACGATCCACGACTTTGGACAAATTACATTTAGAACATTAAATTTAGAACACCTCTCATAGGGATAATCCGAAAAAAAAAAAAAATAAAAATATACAAATTTCTCACATAAACCAAAGAGATTAACCCATATAAATCAAATCAGGTTCCTGGAATATTTTATATCAGAATTGGGTTATTTGCAAAATTAGACAATATCGAAAAACTAAACGTGTTGTCCCAACAAAATATCAACATTTGAAATAATAATAAATGTCATAAATTAATCAATCAATCTTTGGTTATTTAAGGAGAACTTTGGCGATAAATGGCTAGGACCAATTATCAAATATTCGTGGATTTTATTAATATAAAATATTCATGGGACTCCTGGCTCGTTTTTTGTAAAAATGGGAGCACAAGGACCTTCATATGGCCAATCCTAATTTTTTTAAGAAAAAAAAATTAGGGACATTCTTCCTTTTTTAGCAAATATATTCAAAACGTTTCAAGGACTTCCCGGTCGACAATCCTACGATTAAAAAAAAAATGTTAAATGAATCTTCTGGCGGAAATGCTGCCTTTTCCTTGTCGACAATCGAGGATTTGTTAAGAAAAAATTCTCAAGGAACTTTGGCAGGCAAATGTGTTATTGAGGTATTTCCAAACAAAAATTGGGGATTTTTTAAATTTTTTTTAAGTAGGTGTTACATTTTTTTTAAGATTTTCATTTAATTACCCTCTGTTTGGAAGAGATTTCAAGAGATTATGTTCAAAGTCCGATATTTATGTGGGGACACAAATCGAGCGTCAAAATTTTATAAATTTAAAAATATTTTTAAGAGTCTTTATCGACTAAAATTTTAATTTTTAAAAGTGTCCTTAGGAAAATTTTTACTTTAAACTTTATAATAATTTGCTGAAAAAATATCATGGACAATATGAACCTCTTTTGGGGAAAATCATGCATTTTAAATGATAATAAAGGAGTTACTGACAAAAATCCTAATTTTTTATAAATCTTAGATTTTTATGATATTTTTGGATTTTTTGATTCTTTTGAGGAATAAATTCGTGGATTTTGAAAGAAATCGCATCAAATACTTCCTTTCAATTTGAGTATGTTTTGGTTATTTTCGCTGCACTTTTTTTATACTGAGGACCTATATCTATCTGTTCTATCCGACCGTCAATTTCTATCTTGCTTATAATCACATTATTTTAGATGATGACTCTATTTAACTACTTAACATTCTATCTCCGCCTCATCTAAACCACAATTAGTTGCAGTTATTTGGATTCTGACCAAACCATAAAAATCACAACTCAAAGTACATTTTAAACACCATCTTGGCCAAAAGAAATTTATGGAAATTAATTCGCAGCAAAGGACCCCCAGAAAGGGGGCAGCAAAGGACCAGAAGTCTCCGGATAATTAAAGGCCGCGCGTTAAAAGGCAAATTAAAAATAAAATTAATTTTATTTGCAACATATTTCGCAACGGAAAATTAAAAATATCTTGGGCATATTAAGCAGATCAAAAGGTTAGGCGACTGCAATGCAATAATCAAAGAGGGAAAACATAGCAAAGCAAAAAAGGGGCCAGTAATTAAAAAGACATTTTAGGAGCGTCAAAAAACAATGCCTTTGAAACGAGATTTCAAAAGAAATATATAACTCTCCTTTGATTTAAGTATTTTTTTATTGAAGGGAGACTACTGATTCCAAAGAAAACTGCTGTGTTGAGATATTTTATTATCTTTGTTCGCTGTTTAACTGCTTGCCAAAGTCCTTTCTAATTCATTTCCCTGTTGTTTTCTTGTTTTTTTTTTTTCTTCTCTCATTTTTTGCTTGCTTTTCTTTTTCTTTTTTAATAGATTTAACAACGTTCATCAAGTTATTGGAGCAGCCAAATTATACAACGGTGGTAAAGACCCTAAACGCCGGTATTAATCTTGATGATGATGACCTTCATGAAGGAGTTTTTCCCAAAGCCAACAAAGGCACCAACTTGACTTCGAATCCCCTGGAAGCAAACGAAAACGAAAATGAAAAACCGAAAGGGAATATGAAAATGAAAGTATCTGCAATGAATGATAATGTCAGCACAAGTTCAGAGGATTTGTTAAGTGAAAGCGAACAAATCCGGCAGCGACGTTTTAAGAAGCATCAACAATCTTTGAATATTGGTTACTGCCACATGGCTAAGGCTCTGCAGCTGGAGTTCAATAAGACGGTGTTACTTTGGCCCTGTCCGAACATGAAGGTAAGTGAGAAAATTATTTTTTTTTTTATTTGAATTAGAATTTAAAACTGAAGACACAAATAATAAAAGGTATATTTTTTTATTTATTTAATTTTACAACCCAAGCAATTTAAAAATATTTATGTAAAAATGGTGCCCTGCTGAAGGTTTATATTAAATGTTTCCTTCCCATTTACAAAAGAAAGATGGGCGTCTCTCTGACAGTCTGTTTATCTATTGAAATCAACATAGAGGCCACATTCTTTAATATTGATCCTACCAAATTGGCAATATTGAAAATGTGCCGCATCCCCCCTACCCCCTACAATGGAATAGGGACATGTCGCTTCTGTTTCTTGGACGATATAAACCCTTCTTGCGGACAATTTTAATTGTAGGTTCATTATTTGGTATAGACCCATAAAATTTTCGACATCGAATCTTTGTAGCCTCCGATGTTGGATTTTTTTGAAGGTCTTTGCAAGATTTACTAGTCGGAAAAGATTCAAGTTGAAATTTTGAAATCTTAAGGTTTTTGGGAAAAATTTTCAAGGATTTTTTAAGATTTTTTAGAAAACAAAAATCAAGAATCGGACAAATATGAATTTTTATGAACAATTTTGGAGGTCTTCTTTGCAGACAGAAGTAAATTTTAAAAAAGGTCCTCCTGGCGGAAAGCAGTTAATTTTATTTATGAATAATGGTCAAGGACTTTCGTGGGGATTATCGTGGATTTTTTAAGAAAAAAATTCGAGGATAAGCGGATAAATATGAATTTTGAAAGATAAATGTTTATGGATTTAATTGTGGAATTTTTGTAAGTTCAAGGACCTCCCGGGAAGCAATCTTGGATTCTTGAGTTCTTTTTAATAAGGGTTTTCCAAAGAAAACTCTATTTTGTGTTTTGTAGGGTCTTTCCGGACACAAATTATGCGGGAAAATTTAAGATTTTTAAGAATTTTGTTTATCAGGCCTTTCTCGACAAAATTTGAGAAAATTGGGAATTTTATATAAATATTCCAAGCCCTGATAACATTTTAAAGAATTGATTTTATGGATCTCTTTGGAGAAATTCATTTATTTTTAATAATATTTTTGCTTCAAAAGTCATAATTTGAAACATCAAACCCTGAATCCACCGATCTGGACATAGTATGGTCTTTGACATCATAAAGGACTGACGCAAAATCCTGTTTTACTTGTTAATATAGCTAGCCTGAAAATTAAATACTAGATTCTAAATTAAAGTCAATTGGTTTATTAATTGACAATTACTCCTTGGATCTGTCAGACATTTTTGAATATCTAATATTGTTATATTATCAGCTATTTATGTTCGAAATGTTAAAATTTCATTAGATAATATTTACTATCATAAATTTTAGTTGGCTATTTCTGAGACCGCCCAATTCAGACTACACTAATTGTCCAAAGAATTCTGCGAAAATAGCATTTGAAGTTGTTCCTACTTTAATCTTCAATCCTTGTTTCTTCAATCTTTTCTAACTCTCAATTATTTTCTTCCCTCCACCTCCACCCATTTTATTGAGTCCCTTAAAATAAGATAAATACAGTAGCTTACAATTGTTATCCAAAAAATAACTGAAATTGTCACAAGGACAACAAAAACACAAGAAACGAAACAATGAATATCCTTAAACATTCATTACAACAAACAAAAAAAAATCACAACAAAAATAAAGGCCTAGTCTTACGTCATTGGCGCTCACACAACACGCAGCACTGGAAAAACTAAGGAGACTATCTGGTACACCTTAATCAAAGCAGGACTCCTTCATTTGCGTGTCAAGACAAATAAAACGGATGACGACGATGGCCCTTAGATATGCCAATAGTTTGGCTTTTAATCCCCAAAACAAAAATACAAATCCTCCAGTTTTATGTGTATGTATAACCATCACTTGTTGGAATGGTGGCATGTGTGTGTGTGAAAGAGATTTTGCCTTGTTAGCTATCTTTTAAGTCAAATGTGAGAATACTCCCCCCGCTCAAACATACTTTTCTTTCTTTCTTTTCCTTTTTCTTTCATTTATTTGTTCATTCGTTTCTTGTCATGCCTGACTGTTTTCTTTGCGAAAGAGTTAAAGTTCGTCTAAGGTTTAGAGTTAACCTTTTCAATTTGTTCATCTTCCGTTTTCCACACATATGTTTCAGTATGTCTGTGTGTTGGTAGCCCCATTCCATGGCTCTGAAGGTTGTTGAAGTGAAAGATAAGAAAATCCATTCAATTTGTTATCATTCAGCCAAATGAAAGACTAATGAGGGATACATCAACCCTTTCAAGTTGAAGGCTTTTGAAAGGAGGATATTTTTTAAATTTTCCTCATTTTTTTTGGAGTCAAAAGGGGAAGATGTCAGGTGACTTCCATATCCTTTGTTCTGTTTATAACAGCTTTCAAATTATTGGTTGTAGAGACCACTTATTTAATTAACAATTTTAGGAGAGTTAAAATGTAAGAATAGCACCCATTTATTTACACACTTTTTTAATATTCTTCAGAATATTTTTATTATACAATTTTGTTATTCTACACAGGTATGTGAGGTATTCTTGGATTGGATTGTGGTTTTTTAAAATTGCGTTACAAATGTAGTTAATGAACAAATTTTACATTATTTGATATTCAGCGAAGAATAAAACTTGAATTCAGTTTTAAGTTGGTGTGTAGTCCTTATAGCGGTTTTGAGATTTGAAAAACTAAACCCCCAATTATTACATTCTGAAGATCCCAATGAATTTTTTGACGCAATGTCTTATTAAAAAACTTTGTGACAAAATTCAATGTTTTCAATAATTTCGGGGAAATTCCAGCAGATAAAGAAAGTAAACCTAAAAAAGTTTTCGATGAAGTCTTTAAAAACGCCAATACACACGGCATTTTGAAAGACTTCATCGAAAAGTAACCTTAATATATGGGGAAAGTTACCCATTCTTCCATACCTTCGGAAAATATTAATATGTTAACAAGTAAGCAAAGGCTATAGACGCGCGAGGCAATTTCACACGAAATGTGTGGTTCATTTTACCGCTAAATACAGGGTGACATGAAAAAATTTCAACCAACCTCAGGCAGCTGTCATTTCTAAGACACTCGTTCGACAGCTGTTTAAATTATTCCAGTGACAGCCCATCATATTGTTTACAAGCGTACAAAAGCATTTTGGTGAGCATTTTCCAGAAAAAAAGTTATTCGTGATGGAATTCAAGCTCGATAAAGTAATTTTTTTATATTTCTCCACCAGAACCCAAGCGAGGGCTATGGTAATGGTGTGGGCCGCCATAACAGCAGATGGTCGCTCTCCGATCGTTGTAATCGATCGTGGCATCAGAATAAATGCCAAATATTATCGCGAAAATATTCTGGAGGGTGTATTAAAGCCTTGGGCCGCAGACCTCGGACATTCCAACAGGACTCAGCATGCGCTACTCAAGAATGGTGAGGTTCCTCGCTTCATTTCATTTTCAGTGCACAATGGCCACCACAATTTCCGGATACCAATTCGTTGGACTATTCTGTTTGGAATATTTTGGAAAATAAGGTTGGCCTAAAAGAAAGTGATCGCCACTTCACCAATGCAAGGTTTCATTGGCAGCGTTAAGGCCATAATTCGTGGCAAAGGTGACAATTCGAACAAATCTAAAATTTGGTGCAATATCAGACATTTTTTGCTTGCTTCAATAACATTTAAAAAAATAAAAAATTATGGCGTTTGACTTTGTTACAGTTTTTTATCTCACCCTGTATATTGTACCCTAATTTGCTATATATCCGATATTTTGAATATAAGCGTCAATATTATGTTCAGGACAGGATTAAAAATGTTCGCGGTTAATTGAAAATGTTCGTATTTCCTCATATAAAAGTTAGGGTATATTTCACTTCCTAAATATTGTCCGATGACCATCCAAATTGGTAGGCTTTTGTCCAGCCCTAACCTCTAACCCCATGCTAAATTTCCCGTCGATTGGTCTTTAGTTGTGGCCAATAGAGCAACTGCAAAATAAGGAAAATTTTCTGTTTTCTAAATATTTTGCGATCATCTCCAAAAACAATAGGCTTCTATTCTGACACCAACCCAACTCCATTTTTAATTTCCTGAGGATCGGGTCATAATTGCGACCTGTAGCTTGATTACAAATTAACATGGACAGACGGACAGACATAGCTAGATGGACACAGCTCGGCGGGATATGAAGATCCATATATAGTTTCCTATGTCGGGGATCAATAAATGGTGTTACATAATTGTTGGTCCAATCAAACCTATAATACTCCCAGCACTTATTGTTGTAGTGTATAAAAACAAATTCCGGTAATTTAGTGGAACAGTGACTTTCCTCCTTTTTTTGAATACTGAACAATACAAAACATTTGGTCAGCAAATTGGTCTGTCATATTAACATATTAACTCCCTTAATACAATAACCCTCCCCTCTAAAATTATACTCAATTTTTTTTTATTTGTCCTCTGAGTTATTATTTCTTACTAAAAAAATTAAAAAAAATTGGTCCAAACTCTGACCGCAATAAATTCAACCAACTATGCAAATTGGTCACAGCTCATTTAAACGCATATCAATTCGACCACAATTCATAAAACTCTAATTGACCTGTCCGGGCTGCAAAAATTGCCATAAACAAGTTTTCCTTTTTTTCCTTTGCTTTGGTCCAAACAAACAGTTTATAATTTCCAACAATGGCGCTCTGCAATCACACAAAGCAACCAGAGAGAAAGAAATTCATCATTTCAAAATGTCAAAATAGTAAATTCGCAATACTCTCAGACACTTTAACTTGTCACACAGGAAGATAGTGGACACATTCGTTTGTTGTTCCACTTCTACTGCTTCTTTGTCGTCGTCGTCTTTGAACGAAAAAGAGAAAAACAAAAGAGAATGTCGCCAGCAAACTTGTTTCATAAAATATGGCAAACTCTCGCATGGCTAGCTGCCCCACCTTTGGCCCGTTTTCCATGTCAAAGACATGAAGTTCTGTGAC